TCCTGCTTCGAAATAGGCAGACGACGAATTTGCATCCAGATAGCTCACTGTGGAGTCCCGAAGAGGAGCCAACCCACTGAATACAGCTCCCGCGCAACCAGAGACACTTGCAGCGACTTGCCACATCGTGCGACCCCCTCGGCTGCCCGCATGCTCTTCGCATCCCGTCTTTGAGAAACCTGCACGACCTGACGACAAGCCGACGAGACAAGGAACGAAACGTTCGATCTCGCCGACACGAGACGCAAGTTTATTGTTAATGCTGCGACCTTTCCACGCTTGCATCATTCGCGCATTCTCTCTCACCGCCCGGGCTTCCTGCATCTGTCTGCCGACTCTTGCCAGCACATAGCCACTACGACCACAGCGCTCTTCATGATGAGCCAGCAACAGCACGATATGTACCTCGACTACGCACCTCCTTCGAATCGCTCTCCCAATTCCTCGCGTCCTTATCCAGGTGGCAGCGGCTTCCAACCCGGCATGTCTCTGCCTCGCCAGACCCAGAGGCCTTTCGATCCGCCCCTGGGCTCATCTGCCCTCTACTCGACCGACCGCCTGACAGGGGGCTACAACCCGCGAGGCATGGATCAAATGAGCCATCAAGGAGGGATGCAGGGCGGCTATATGCCTGATAACAACCAGGCGTGGTCTTACAACCCTGCAGCTGTTGCCACGGTCAATGGCGCCATGAACGGCACAAGCCGGCAGAGGAGCGTCAACCGACGCAACCCCATCCCTACGGTTAGTAGCATGCATGATGATGGCGTATGCGGTGAGCGTAGGTACTAACAGACATCGACAGAACTGGACCGATCAGGGCGGCATGGGCATGCCGTACGGTTCGGTTAGCCTCAACGGCACCCCTTTGTCAAGCGGTATGAGATACGACCAGGGACAGCATGACATGCGTGGCGGCCCTGGCGAAGAGCAGCTGATCCCGACGGCCATCGTCATCAAAAACATTCCCTTTGCGGTTCGCAGGGAGACTCTAGCGGGGCTCATGCTCGAGATGCACCTCCCGCAGCCCTACGCGTTCAACTACCATTTTGACAACGGTGTCTTTCGTGGTCTTGCCTTTGCCAACTTCTCCTCGCCTGATGACACGAAGATCGTGATCGAGGCTATGAACGGCATGGACGTCCATGGTCGCAAACTTCGCGTCGAGTACAAGAAGATGCTTCCAGAAGCCGAGCGTGAGCGCATTGAGAGGGAGAAACGTGAGCGCCGTGGACAACTGGAGGAGCAACACCGTGCACCTATGCTCCACCAGCAGCCTTCTGTTTCTACGCTGAACAGCATGAATAACGGCCAGTCTCGTGGTGGAGCTAGCACCGCCCTCGGTATGTATCTGTTTGTGCTCTGTAATCGTCCCCAAACCCGCTAACCCTAAAGCTTCAGGCGATGTGAACCTGAATGACCCAGAGACACTCGAGTTTTACACGGAGCTCACCCTGTTCAAGCAGGACAATAACCGCGAAATCCTGATCTTCCCATCGACTGTGGCACCTGAGCAGCGCCGCCAGATTCACATCTTGGCTCACCATATGGGTCTGGAGCACCGTTCCGTTGGCGATGCCGACTCGAGACAGATTCATGTGCAGAAGCGCCATCTCCCCTCGCCCACTTCGCAGATGCCCACGGCGCCCGCCGTTGGTCTGGATTACCACAAGAAGGGGCTCAGTAGGGCCGCTACCTTCGACTTTGCCGCAGACAGGGAGCGAGAGACCAGGGCCGTCACCGGCAACTACTCTCACATGCTGGGCCGTCAAGGACCCACCCTCGAGCTGCCTGGCAGCCCTGATGGCACGGGTCTTGCCAATCTTCGAGCTGCCAAGAGCTTTGCCGATCTCCGATCGTTCAGCCCCCAGCCCCTCGGCCTCATCGTCCAGCTACTTGACGGCCGTCAACAATGGCATGATGCCTCCTGCTAGGTTCACTGAATATGCCAGCGGCATGAACCAGGGCAACTCACTCGCGACCCCCAACCTGACCCCGACTACGCCGGGTACGTCGAGCACCCCTGGGAACGACAGCCTGCTGAACTCTCTGGGTGCACTTAACCTGGGAGCTTTCGAGGCCGCGACTCATGCGCAGCCGCGTAACACCCCGGGCGCGATCGGTAGTCAGCGTCCTGGCGCTGTGAACAGCCGCAACGGAGCCCCTGAGAGGCAGCCACGAGGCCCGGAATGGGAGGCGTCGGCTGGCTTTGGAGGCCGCACCCGCACTAACGGCCATATGCAGCGAGGAAGCGGTAAGTGACACTCAGATCAGTCAACTGTGAGGCTTGCTAGGCTAACCCAAACTTTGATAGAAGACTCGTCTGACAACGGCGCGCGTTCCACGCGTCCCGCTACCACTGAAGGCCGAAAGCCCAACGATGACACGACTCATGAAGACTCGATGGATAGAGACGACGAAAAAAAAAGCCGAGATACCAGCGCAAGCAAAATCGCTGTACAGATTATTCTCCTCACCCCAGGAATCTCCACCCGCCCTCATACGACTTCGCTTGCTTTTTTCGCCACCTCTACGTTCCCCTCCCCGTACTGTTTATAATGATTGTTGCAAAGCTTTTCTCGACTGTTGCATTTGGTGGATAGAAAATCACGCGACGCTGGATTGGATAGCTCTGGTCCCAGCATCACCTTGACGACCGTTTTTTGGACGAACACGGACAGTGATGAGGATTCAAGACGCTCTCACTCTCATGGGCAACCATATCACGACCCGACACGGCCCCGGCTCCGACAGGCCGCCGCCCTGCCCTTCCTTACTCCACACCATGGTGCTGGACAGCGAAGGATGTTTGACGACGATTTTATGCTGTTACGACGTGACGTCTAGACGGACAACAGCCCCCTTGACGAAGCCCGTCTTCGGACGGTGCGGGCGTGGCTAGCAACGGAGACGACTACGACGATATACCCACCTAATCCTACCCGAACCTCGGTCTCTCAGCATCAAGTCCCATGTTGACACCCTGGGCTCCCCTTTCGACACGACCTGGGCGCTTCAGAAAAGTTAGCTCCTTGTCGGCGTTGATTTGCTTTTGCTTTTTGTTTCTGTTGCCCTGGGAAATTTGGTCTCGGGTGAAACGGCGTTTGGTTTTGCATTTGTTGGTGATTCGATCTCTTTTTTTTTGAGCTCTCCATCTTGACGGTGGTGGGCTAGTGTTGCAATTTATCTGATTCGCACATCGCACATACGATTTAGTGGGAAAAGTGGCAGTTATGTCGCGGGTGACCGCTTGGACGGTACCTGATGAAGAGGTGACGGAGTGGAACGAAGTTGATGCGGCAACGAGTAATGGGGATCGGCACATTTACTGTGTTCGACTTCCAACAGCCACTGTTGAATATATTGCACCGTTTTGTTTGAGTTCGGAAGCTGTTGATGAATACGTTGTCTCCTCAGAGCGTACTTTGCATGCCTTGTCTTTGCTGCTTGACATTGAAGAGAAGCGAGTCTTGCTTGTAGCCCTTTACAAGATATTTGCTCGATAGACTCCAAAATACCGGCAGTCTGTATCATCAGTCCGAGCTAGGCAGGGTATTTACACTAGAAGGACACAACATTGGACAGGCATCGCTATTCAACGGCGAGCATATCAAGAATGGGCAACTGCCACGTCTTTGTCCGTCGTCCCTTTGTCTTGTTAAGGCTCTGTCAGCAGCCTGTTTGACACAGCCTTGTGAGGCGCCGTTGAACAGTGTCTGCCCAAACGAGACAAAGCACTCGGGTAATAAGCGCGATGACGGCGATCCATCGTGTTGCTGGGCCTGGCGCGCCTTGTCATGTCGTTTCCTTTGTCCCCAGCAGCCGTCCGAGGGGCGCTGGTTGCGTGAGCTGTATAGTGTCGAGTTGGGTTGGTGGATTCTACGATCCAGGTGGTGAAGTGATGGTGGTGGTTGGGGCGAGGGGCCAGATTGTGTATGGGAGAGTCGGATATAGGACACGCCGTTCTCACGCAGGAAGATGGGCAGTGTCGTTCACATCGTCGTGCCGCAATTTCTGCAGCAGCCCGCGTCATCTGGTCCTTTTCCAGGCAAGGGATATATCCTAAGCAGACGAAACTTCTTCCATAAGACGATGACACCAGCAAACAGAACAATGCGGACCCTCGCAGTGCAGATGCACCCCAAGCATCAACCGAAGCCTCAAACCCTACCAGTATCGCCCCTGCTGAGGGGATCCCAGGACAAAACCCCCAAGCCTCGCGCCGCCCGCTCTCCAACGACGGCCTCGTTTCCACAGCCCCCGGCCGTCGAGGAATCCACGTCAGCTCCACCGCGGACGCCGATGCCCTGGCGCTGGCGCTGCCACGCCTGCGGCGCCACGTTTCGGCTCGCCTGCACGCGGCGCTGTCTCTGCTGCAGCCACGTGCTGTGCACCGAGCGCGATGGCAGGGGCAGGATGTGTCGTGCCGAGTTTGACTATGACGGGTGGGCTGCGTATGGGGCGTGGAGGAGGGGGCGGAGGGGCGGCGGGAGGAGTGGGAAGCGGGTGACCGAGGGGATGAGGCACGAGGTCGCTTCTTCTTCTTCTGCGGCTGCTGATGACGGGGATGGTAATATAGCGGTCGAGGGGCAGGGCTGCTTCTCCGAATGTGACTGGCCCAGTCAGTGTCGGTATCGAGCGAGGGAGAGGCTTGTTTCGCCTGTAACTGGTGTTGGGATGTATGAGGTGGCGGGGATGGTGGAACATGTTGAGGTAGCTTCGGGGGCCGCTGGGGGAAACGTCTGGAGGCGTGGAGAAGACGAGGAGGGCGAAGAGGACGAAGAGTATGAAGATGATAAAGAGGATGAAGGCGATGAAGGCGATGAAGAGGAAGAGGAGGCAGGCGCTTTCGCAATGTTCATCTGGTGCGATGGCCCTGAGACGATAGACCCGCAGTTGCTCGGTCTACACGGCCAGGCAGACGGGCATTGGAGCTTGGCAGGGCAGAGGTGCGAGGACTGCATAATTGGGCAGGACATCTGTAAAGGGACCGAGCTGTAGAGGTATCTGAGCAGAGGCTGCACAAGGCGAATACATAGAGCTCATACACATCACCACATCACTCACCACACGGACGGTGCGCGCAAAAGCCCCCCATTACCAAGTAGTATCATCTACCTATCTCCCCATCAGCCACCCCCACAAGCCTGATCGGGGCGAACCGGGAACCGTGTTGTACAATACTCGAAGACGACAGCTCGAGGCAGACAGGACGGGCCGGGAGCCCTCGGCATGCGCGGCCGGGCCGGTGGTCTGTCCTGATGAAGCGCGCGGCATCCCAAGCGACTGAGTAGTCAGTTGGGCTGGAGGAGAAAACAAACAAGGCCCTCAGGCCTCGAGGTCTCCAGAGCCTTGCCCCGCGGTCGCTGCCCCAGCCTCGGCAGGACGTCTCGCCGTCGACCCAAACAAGACCACAAAAAACATGTCATCGAACCGAACCCCGTCCGGCGACCCCGTCGTGAAAAGAGATAATCCCGAGAAAAAATTCCATACGCAGAAGCGCCTCAAAAAGGCGCGTGACAGGCCTCGTCGCGTCGACGCGTTTCTGGCGTCTACGCCTCGAGCTGCTTGGCCTTCTTCTTCTGCTCAACCTTTAGCAGCAGCGCGCGGTTGATGTGCGGCAGCACACCACCGAAGGCGATGGTGGCGCGGATGAGCGTGTCGAGCTCCTCGTCACCGCGAATGGCAAGCTGCAGATGGCGGGGCGTGATGCGTTTGACTTTGAGATCCTTGGCGGCGTTCTGCATTGCGCGTTAGTCAAGGACGTCACGGTAGCGGACATGAGGAATCAGGCAGAAGCGATTGATATGAGGGGGTGACAGAGAGAGGAAACGTACGCCTGCGAGCTCGAGAACTTCAGCAGTCAGGTACTCGAGAACAGCGGTCGTGTAGACGGCAGCCTTGTCTCCGACGCGCATCTTGTTCTGGGTGTTCGACTTGAGGAAACGCTTGACACGACCGCAGGGGGAACTATGGTGAGGGTCAGTAACGGAATTCGAGGCTGCACGCGACGGGCGAAAGCTGTGTGTGTGGTGTCGATGCGCGATCAATTCAGACACCAAATCCGACCATGTTGCTTATCAAGTCGCGTCGAGGGGTTCGCATCGATATCAGCCGAAAAGACGTGTCGAGCAATGAAAACAATGCAGACCATGGCGATGCAGCCATGCCCAAAGGGTGCATCATCGTGGTGTCTCCACAAACGCGTCGTGATCGAGGCTGTTAGTGATCGAATGGTCGGTGGATTAAAGGCTTCGTCGCATTCACACACACTCACACGCACAGCCATGTCGCAAGGATGAACGAGCTCACGCGACTTGACGCAACGTACCTGAAGACCAGCACGCGCCGAGTGGCTCTGCTGCTTCTTGGGGCCGCCATCGGCTGAGGCCTTGCCTCCAGAGGTCTTGCCGCCAGACTTTCCCTTGCCTCCAGCCATTGTTGATGCGATGCGCGGTTGGTTGGAAGTGGATTCGGTGTTGTCAAGGGGTCCGAGGTTGACACGGAAAATCGGAAGTTGATGGTTGATCGAAAAAGGTGGACGTCGGTGTTGATGGTGGTTGATGTAGACAGATTTTTTTTTGCGCGAATCGAACTCGAAACCGGTGGTGGGCAGGTGGTGATGTTGATGGATGGGGGGGTGGTCGTGATGGTGGAGCGGAGGAGACGGGGGAAAATCTCAAGGCTCGAGCGTGCTGATGCTGGAGCTGGCGGGAGCTTTGGGGGGGGGGTCTGCGCGCTGAATGTTTGTTGTCTTGGACCTGGCCTGGAGAGTAAGGGACGTACCTACCTACCTAGTGAGTAGGTGAGTTCGGTGAGTAGGTGGTGGGTGCTAAGGGGGGCGAGGAGGGGCTGCCTGCCACCTGAGCTGCAACTGTCATTTCCCCCCCATCCCTGTTCTCCCCATCTCTTTCTCTCTCTCTCTCTCTCAGAATCTCAGAGTCTCTCAGAGGCTCCCGTCTGTTATGATCGTAGCGCGTGGCTGCCTGCCTGCTCCCGGGCTTGTTGACAAGCTGGTGCGGGCAAAAGGGAGGCCAGCGCCCAGAGGAATGTTGGTCTCACCCGAGGTTCTACCGGCCGGCCACAGTCCCGTATGACTTGAAGATGCGGGCAGGCAGAGACCAGAGGTAGTGAGGCGGTTGGATGAGCCAGCCGTTGTTGTGTCCTGGCTCTCGCCACTTGGCAATAACATTGCCCAAATGGCTCCGGGAAGTCAAGGAGACCCGTATTGAGCCCTTGGAGCTTTTTTCGAGGGGACAGACTCTGCTGTGCAGGAGATATACTGACCTGGCCAAGCTTCCACGAGCGGCACTCGGGCGGCTACCAGCAGAAGCGGGAGCGCCAGCGAAAAGAAATGTCCACAACTCTGCAGCCACGCGGTGTGCTTGTGGCTGGACTGCTGAAGGCGATCAAAAGAGGCATCTGGGTGATACTCGAGGGTTTTGCAGCTTCTCCGAGCCCAACAGCGGGCTCGTCGTCGAAGCATACAATGCCATGTCGGCTTCTAGAGTTGGCTCAAGCGAGGCCCTGAGATCCAACTGTCCCGCACGCTCGATGCTGTGGCTGGTGCATCACGTGTCAGACTGGTGTCTGTGGCTGCAAGCGCCGTGGCCGGCCACATCACGTGACGCCCTGCGGCAGGCCATTATGTCGACCTGTCTCCTTTCCATGATACTTCTGCAGCATCACTCACAGGCCGTGGACGGCTTTCTCGATGGCGAAAGCGTCGATGAGACAGGCTAACTACTCGGTCCTATGAAGTCTCGCTACTCGCTGCTTCACCCACACCAATTTCCAGCCGCATCAACAAACGGTCAATTCTATTCTCATCCCATCTGTTGGCAGTGGCCAACGCCCACACAGGCCCCGCTCTAGCCACCTGCGCCACGTGCAATACTGTTTGCAGAGGCGTGCACACCTTGGTCGAAGTCACCATCGTAAAGGCTGCGCCGCACTTGATCAGATATGACCAAAGATCCGGGTTGCCGGACTCTGCTGCCGTGGCGAGGGGGCTCTTGTAGATTATTCGCGGCGGCCACCCAAACTTGCGCTTTCCTTTCCAGTGAACCTCAGCTTTGCCCTCTGGAGGCTCTGGGGGCGTGGCATTGACATTGGCGCCGCGCTCTACCAACAGACGCACAGCGCCCCATTGTTCGGCACGTATAGCTTCCTTCAAAAGAATTGTTGTGTGTGCACCGTCGGGGAAATTGAGTGGCAATCCATTTTGCAGTACATGCTCGATAATAGGTATGCACCCTCCCCTTACAGCAGCTTGAAGGAGTGGTGTTTCATCGTCAGGGTCTTCGCGATGTACATCTGCATGAACCCATGGACGTTTCCTTTCCGAGCAGTATAATGTGATGCTTTGTGCCATTGATGCCCTCGACAGTGAGGTAATCTGCAATGTGCAATCGCTCCAGGGTGACGGCCGCACATAGTGCGGGTTCTCCCCATTTCGGACCCCGAGCAAGATCGAATCCAGAAGCAGCTGTGTAGAGGATCTACACTGATTCAAGGCTCTTCCGGCGGTTGACGGCTTACAGCAGAGCCTCAATACTTGGGGTCGCCCCTCGAGTTAGACGTGCTTTTACAACTTCAACATGACTACCCTTGGACGCCAACACTAGGGCTGTCACCCTCCCCAATTGGTCTTGAGCGACCGAATTGATCTCGGCGCCGTTCTGTATACACTCCAGGACAAGTTCAATATCTCCAACCAAGGCGCCTGCACGCAATGTCTCGTCCAGCATCATGCCGTACTTGGCCAGTTCCCGCAGCATCACCTTCTAGCCCAACAATGCAGCCAGCATTTGGCTTGCGCAGGGTCCGCTACAGGGTAGGTTCCGTCCGGTGGAAGGCTCAAAATCTACGTGATTGCTTCTTACCACGTCGCGGTGTCGAAGAAGCTCCTGAACCACGGCGAAGTTGCCAGCGAATGTGACGGCTGTAAGGGCATTCACTGCCTGAGGACGGCTTCAGCCTCCAATAGTCCAGGATGCCGTGTTCCAGTGCTGCTTTGACGGCGTCGACGGAACCATTCAACGCTGCCACAAACAGCGGGCCGGTACGACGATCGCCGCTGAGCCAACCAAACCTCACTTGACGCCTAATGTTGGCGCCAGCAGTCAGAAGTTCACGCATGATCTCGATATGGTCCTGCGCCGTGGCAGTGGCAACCGCTATTACGTATCTGTCACTGATGGCGTCGACGTCGACGTTTGTGGCAATGAAGAGCTTCACAATGGCCCGGTGACCGTTGCGAGCTGCGGCCTTTGATGCATTGCCGTAGATTCCACATGATCCTCCCGTCGAGCCTTTTGTGGTAAGGAGCCGGTCTTTCTCATTCTTGAGTCCGTACCGCACGGTGCAGTACAGGAGGGCATAGGCACTCATCTCATGAGCATCCGTCGTCGCAATTTTCTTGATCCAGGCTCTGTCGACCTCTGTCACTACAACTGTGGGAATATCGCTTTCCTTGTCGAAGATATCGGCCGATAGTGCTTGCGTTTCATCATCGTCCCAAGTACAGCTTGGTCTGTGCTTGAGAGCTCTGAATCGTAGGCTTGGTAGTGTAAGTCTTGTGATATGTGTATCATTTCGAGCCATCTGTGTACCTCCAGTGCCTCAGTGAATCCACTATTCACTGCTCCTTCGATCATGTGTCCGTGGGCCGAGGCGATCACCGGCGGTGCCGTAATCACCGACACAGGCAATCCCTAACGTTGTTCAATATTTTCCCAACAGTCGCCGTTGTCATTTGACCTGCCGTAACCCATAGAAGCCGTCGAGAAGCGACCTGAGTTGTATCCGAACTCGTGCACACGCCCCGAATGCGACAACACTGACTCCATGGTCCTCGAATCAGTGCGCGAGTCGTTCCTCTTGCCCTGTGGTACCTTCTCCTTGACGATGCTCAGGGTGTCGTGCTGCATCTTCTCAATGATTTCGTCAAGCAACTCCTCCCGGAGCTTGGCTGCATCACTGTCCTGGCCCTCACACAGGTCAGGCAGGCGCCATTTAGGGTAGACATTCATATGAGATGACTGCACTTGGAAATCGTTGTCGATGTCGCTGAAGTAGTAGTGACAGAGCCGGCAGGGTGGCTTGCTGGTTGCGATGAACATGGAGTCGTTCCAGTACTCGTCAGCATCAACGGAGCCACTCCGGACAAGGAAACTGTGCAGTAGAACCTCGCAGTGCATGACAAGCTTCATGGACTTCTGAGGCAGTTCGTTCAGAAGGTTTTCGTCCAGACTGTACAACCGAAGTACGTCGAGATGATCGTGGTACTCGTCCATGTTTATGTCGGGGAACGCCACCTGGATTACCTGACCAGACCCCGGATGTGGTTTTGGCAGAGAAAGTTTGAGCGGACGGCTTGAAGAGATGAAGTTCACGGTAAAGCCTTTGAACATCTCAGGCCAATCCCTAGATGCTTTGTAGATGCACTCGGCGGCCTGACGGTACGAATGGAGGCGCCCAAGGTAATGACGTAGCTCGCACCAAGAACGCGAAATGTCAGTGTTGCTGTCATGCGTGCGCTCATACATAGCTGTCATGAAGCTGCTCTCCCTCAGAGCATGGATAGCCCTTATAAGAATTTCGCAGTCTCGGAGGACTACATCATTTCGTCAGCTTAGCAGTCATTCCAGATGTTTGTTGTACCCTAGATCGCCAACTAACACTTGTTTCTTGCGTTTTCTCCAGCCAGCATGTCGTGGGAGAACTTGGCCCGGTCATGAACATGTTTAAGCTGCTGGAGGACGACAGATTCTTCAAAGATCAGTGGCGTGTTCTGCGCAAGACAGGGACGATAACTCACGGCTGTGCCCATCAAGCTGCCTGGACAACTCGATGCACTCTTCGATAAGCGCTGCAACACGCTTGATGTAGTACTCCACTTTCGGAAAGCCGAACTCCAGGGCTCGCCAAAGGATTTGCTTTGACATAGCCTTCTCGCCAAGCCCCAGGGGGTTCTTCCCAACATATTCAAGTAGCTCAGTGAGAAACTTCATTGTGCCCTTGAGCTCAAGTTCCTTTCGATTGTTGGACGCGAACAGATATCCCGGGCCATTGGCTGTCTTGAGAGCAACAAGAGCCGTGATGGTGTCGCCGCCCTTCGCGGTATCACATACTTGGGCAAGCTTACAGAGAAATTTCTGGAAAGAGTTAAGGTGGTGGTCATTGTCTGGATTTCCGGATGTGTATGAAATTTGTTTCAACTCTTTACAACTGTCGTTGACGGCTGACTGGACGGCGCAGAGGTAGACGAGCTGGACGGCTTTGTTCGAGGTGGCATCGGCAGAGGCACGCTGGCTGGTTGCGGAGGGCATGACGGGAAGATGATATGAGATGATTTCTGTAGAAGAGTAATAGAAAGACTTGAATTCCTGTTGATAGTCAGGGTCTGATGTTGTGTATGGTCTCCATCATTTCTGCCGGGAGACCAGCTGCTTCTTATAGACGTGCCTCCCAGTAGACATGCGCCCGTTAAACACAACTTTTTGCAAATCCTTGCCCACTTGGTACCTTGATTTAGCTCAAGTGAATTGGAATTCCCATGTACTTTCAAGGGTTCGTCATGAACCTTCGAGCTACAGGAGAAGGTGGCACACATGACGCTCACGAACGGCTAATGTCTTGAGCGGGAAGCCTCTGAACACCATCGCTGGCGGCGCGCTGTGCAAATTCATATGCAAAAGAATTCAAAACGGGATCATCGGTGAGGGGTGGTGCAGAGATATATGTCAGAATGGCGCGTGATCCCTCCAGATGTCCAAAATGGCCATCGGTCAGTCAATTATGGAATCTCGTGGAGTCATGGAGAACACACTGTTTGGTGTTTTGCGCCCTATGCGCCAACCTGTTCATGTAGATCATGTACTGAGTTGGTCAAATGTATACGCCACGAACAAATGCCCCTTCAGCCCTGGGAGGGAACCACCTCTTTTATTGGTTATGCCGCCGTCCTCTGGTCTCATATTTGGCCTTGCCAATGACGGTTGCAGCCAGACATCCCACCCAGCCGCGGTTGGTGAGCTGCATAGTCATGGAAGCGCGGGCGTGCGCATAATTGAGACGCCCGACTAACCGTGGCACACATATCATGACCCATGCTGATGATTATCGAGCGGCCGACAGCACCTCGACTACGGTAAATCTCCTGACACATCGGTCCCTACCGCCGGAACGCATTGGCAGTGCGATTTGGTTTCATTCGTCTGAAGGTGAGAGGCTGACCACAATTGTTGTGGCAAGACGTACTGAGTTATTTCTGTGGGTCTGCCCCCCGTTTCCTGGGCTTAAATGCAGGTCGTTATTGAAGTTTAATAGGTCGAGGGTCGACCAGTACATAAAATACTTCCAACCTGTTCTTCAGGATTATAGAGGCTTTCACCCACAGCTGTGTATGTCAACAGGCGTACCAACCTTCTCTCTGGAATGTGCAAGTGGGATTACAACTATTTAAGTCTTTCCTCTGTCCCCCCTTTCCAGCCATTTTTGCTGCCAGTTCACATAGTCTCGCACTTCGATGCCATGTTGATTTATCAAGGGCCTTTCATCTTGCCCAGTCTTTTATTTGCCCGATGAGTGTTGAAAGAGACTGTGAATCTCATGCAATTCATATTTTGGGTCAGGTATGTTCTGTTTCCCCTTACGGTGCTGGGCGAGTCACGCTAACCGTCCGTCTCTTGACCAGCACTTCAGAAAACCATTTTGAACAGGAGAACTGCCATCCACATTATCACTCGGCGGCTTGCAATCCTCCGCACGCCCGCCGCCAAGGACGAATGCCGAACGTCGGCCGGAACGGCTGCATCAAACCACTGGTAAGACAAACACTACCTCAGAAGACAACAGCGTCATGTCGGCCGCCGAAAAAATGGACCTGACAAACACAAAGAGCATCATCACGGACTACAGACTTCTGACAGAATCGAAACATGTCCCGAAAAAGCAGGGAGCGCGACCTACACAACGCTTTCAGGGAGTGGGCCGTAGACCCGGCTCTCTATGACCAGTTTGGAGACGAGGCCGAGTCTTCCATTCCTGCAGTCTGGCCAAGCTCTGCTAGAGACCTCCCCTACGTGTCGGACCAGAGCTTCCAACCATATATTTACCCTCCTGACCTGACGTATCCAGGCGACTCCTTGACCCCCGAGGAACTCGTATTGATCCAGCAGTCATCTGGAATGGATGAGCCATACCCTGTCGGCGATGCATCAAGGCTATAGTCTGATAGCATAGAGCAGCCAGGCCCGTCAGGCGATCTATCGCTTTCACAACTGCAACCAAATGTAGACGCAGAATTCGGGGACTACATGAATCTTGAACTCGACGACCTTTGCATTTCCAACCAGCGTGACGAGTCTGTCTCGTCGTCCTCCCCTTTTCATCTCAACACACATCATGAACCCGTAACCATTGCCGAGCCTTCATCCCCCTGTTTAGCCACTGACAAGAAAAAGGACCCGTCTTCCTCGTACAAGACGTCCTGTCGCTCCAAGAAAGCCACTTCCAAGACGTCACAACACAAGGAACGCATACAATGTCAGTGGGAAGACTGCGGGAAATGGTTTCGAATTCCTACCGATCTACAGTGAGTGCAAAGAAAAGATCTTCGCGCCAGTCTGCTGACCCTCCGCTCCCACAGTAAGCACGAACACAAAGTTCACAGCCCACATATCAAATGCGCCGCAAGGTTCCTGGACCCGCAATTGCCCTGCTTGAAAATGTACCACACGAATAAGGATATGCACCGTCATGCCCGCTCAGCCCATCGCTTCTTTGCTGCTGACCCGGCTAACGGCATTCCAGCCGAAGGGGGTGAATGCCCAAAGTGTAAAAAGTTTCTCGGCAGAGACGACAATCTGAAGCGGCACATTGACGAGCAGCACAAGAAAATAAAGCGCGTGCGTAAAGATACCTGACAAGCAGAAGCTGGCATGCGCATGCGTTCTTTTTTCTCAACTTTCATGCTGGGTTTCCTAGTTTCTTGGGCAACATTAGTCTTCTTTGTCTCGTTCATAGTCTTTAGTTGGGAAGATACTTGAATCATTATAGCGGATACCTAATATATTAGTGTTACGGAAGTCAACAATATACTGCATGCAGATATAGATGCTACATCGTTTCCGCTCATTCGTGGACAACTTGGATCCGCGGCGCATGCTGACGAGATTGCCTGAGATCCTGCGGGTTTCGAAAGCGACAGAAGACAGACCGAATTCATCTCTCATGTTGGATATCGGTAATTTTTCATCTGGTCATGCGAGGGTGGACGGCTACTTGCTTACAACCATCATCATCCGAGACACAGCTTTTCTACTAAGGGTCTTAATTGGTATTGATCGCTCCTACGAGCCATATCCCTGCCACTTTTATCGGGCACAGAGTCCCTTACTGCCAATCGTTCTTCGTAATTCAGCCGCAGTTTTAGCCATAGGCTACCATACTGTACGATAGACCTCTATTGCTAGATACAAGGATCACTATCTTAATGCTACTTTTATAATATCCTCTTAGCGGTACATAGACGAATACTATATCAAGATCCTATATAGTGACTTCCTATACTATGAGCACTATAGTCTTAGTAGTAGTATACTACGACCTAGTAGTCTCCGATGGCGGAATACTATTAAGGGGGTTAGGGTTACTATGAGTAGAATCTTAGGCTATATGTCTAAGATAATAGAGTAATATAAGATCTTACTATCATAATTATAATCTCGCTATTATAGATTACTATCAAATGAGTAATATAACTACCTTAGTTATTATAATCCGGTTATAGTTATATAAGTAATACTATTAGTCCGTATACGTCCGGCCGTGTATAGATTGTTCTACCTAGTCTCCTAGTAATAGCCTAGTGTAACAACCAAGGAAGCAGGGTGGCCGCGAGTTGACGACCCCGCGATCGGGAGACACGATAAGATAAGAGCGGACCCACTAGGCAGAACACGTGATAGCTCACCCAGACATAATAGTGAGCTCCCCAGGGACATGACAGTGAGCCAGGCGGGCCACAGGCGGCCTTAAGGCACGGCCACAGGGCTGGTCCTGCTACCTAACTATTTGTAACATTGTTCATTTAATATATCTTTAGTTTACTTTGTTATTTTAATATAAGCTTTTTTTAGGGGTATAGGGTATCTCTTCGAAGTTTTTCTTATTTGTGCTCTCGCCCTTCGCGGTCGCTTCTGTCAGCTCTCATCAGCCCCGCCGCTCGCTGCCCAGGCATCACTCTGCGAACCTTGCCCGCTGTCCTCACTATGTGAGCGGGCGAGAGTAAAGGAAGACGCGGCTGCGGCAAACATCCGCCTGTCGACTGTGGTCTAGCTCTTCATTGTGGGCGGTTGACCGCTCGAGATACTGAATCCCACATCGCGACCTTGGTACTTGGAACAGCCTACATTCACGAGGTCCAGCCAACATGGACAACAACGACGCAGAAGCCGCTCCAACTGCACCCAACATGCTCCGGCTCCCTGCCGAGCTCCAACTCCACATCATCCAGCACCTCACATTCGGCGAGCTCGAGCACCTCCGCCGAACATGTCGCTTCTACCGCGCCTTCATCTCCCCGGCCGTTGTCGGCCGCCTCTTTGGCACGGCCCATCGTCTGCAGGCCGCCCTGCTGTCGACCTGCCGCGACTGTCTGCGCACCGAGGACCCCGTCGCCAGCGCCCCGCCCACGATGCTCTGGGCCGACGTCGCCAGCGCCGACTGGCCGCTCGCGAGCCGCTGCGTCGTGTGCGCGTTCAAGTCGCGCGACTTGTACGTCGACGAGCAGATCACCTTTGCCGACTGGACGAGCGCCTACGTCTGTCGGTGGTGCGGCATGCCGGTGCACGTGGGCCAGACCAGCGACTATACGAGCATGCAGGTCAATGAGTTTCATGTGCCCTGCTGGGACGCCTACAAGAGGGTGCACCACCGGTTCCTGCTCCTCGGTCTGCTGAGCGCCGGTGTGGCCGTCCTGGCGAGCGCCAGCAGCATGGTGTTGGTGCCGCGGAACCTGAAGATTTTGATCCCCGCCGTCGTGAGTCGTGGACATGACCCTCGGCGCGTGATTGTGCTGACTCTCTCTCAAGATCAATCTCGTGTTGGGCCTGCTAGTGTACGTGATCATGTGGTTCCGGACGGACAAGTCGAGGACCTTTCATTTTGTCGCCGTGATCGACGTAGTCATCGTTGCCATCTGGATCTCGTCGCTCGTCGAGTTTGGTGCAATGATGCGGATTGACAGGACGGGCACTGTATCAACGCTGGCTGCCGTGTTTCTGGGCATGCTTCCCATCGGCATAGCCATGTGAGTGTACACCATGTAAACTCGAGGGTACTCGGTCTCTGACATGATGCAGGATCGTCCGGCTACTTGACATCGCTGGCAACATTGTCCTTGCGACAGACTACCGACATTGGCAGCGTCGAACACCGAGTACGGGCTGGGTCGAACGGACGTGGAGGCCGGTGGAGACATTTCTGGTGCATTTCACCTGGCCCAAGATCACCGAAGCGGAATACCCCTACCGCATGTTGTGGTATGGATTCGGGCGACTGGGGGGCACTGTTGTTCGGATGAGACAATCGGAGAAAGACATTGAGATGGGAACAATACCAGCGAGGCCTGGCAGCGCGTGAGGCCGATGGCAAGAGACGCATCACTGACCATGGCAATCTACTCGGGTTGAACGAGAAGCATCATGTTTGCATGCGCGCGGTTATACCGATCTCAGCAAGAACCGATTGAGCTCCGACGCCGTGGGTATCGGGAACAGCCCCACCAACGCCGCGGTCCCCGAGCCCAGGTTCTGGGGATACTGGGCGATGTCGGCGAATGGGATGCACCATCTCCAGGGGCAGCGGTCGGCGAAGGTGGGATGCGGGGCAGATCCGAGTGGTGATGCGTCCAAGGTTTCGCCATCAGTAGACGACCTAAAGGCCTCCCGAAGAACGCAGGATAAGCGCAGGTTAGCTGCGTGATGACGCGGAAATGCACGCCGCGTAAATGACTGCCTGGGCTCGTATCATCGGATGGCAGCTCACGAATACGACAAATCACGTCGTTGTCCGGCACATCCGTCCGGCTCCTTAGCTCCTACTCGCCCACTGGCATCATTGGTTGCACTCGTTGACGTCAGCTGTAACGCCTGCGTAACGTATATCACACCCCATCGCCCATCTACACTTCTCGCCGTCCCCCAACGCGTCTTCATCGTCGTCGTCGTCTCATTATTACTCGACACCATGAAGTTCATCTCAACCCTGCCGTTCGCGGCCATCGCTGCCGGCATCGTCGTGCCCAGCACCAACGATTTGAAGGACTGGCAGGATTTCCTTCCTACTAAGAAGTCCATCGCCTCTACCGTAGACTCTATTAAGGAGGACGCCCGGCACTTGGCCAGCAACGTCGAAGATGCTGTAAGCTATGCCGGTAACAAGCTCGACAGCTTCGCCTCGTCCATCGAGCAGGCGTTCGAAGAAGAGGCCAGCACTTTCGGTGGCCACCATCACCACCACCCTGATACGTCCAACTTGACTATTTATGAGCTCATCTCCAAGAGCGACTATGCCACCAAGTTCTTCCACCTCGTGAATGAGCACGAATCACTGGTAAAGCTGCTCAACTCAACAAAGGCAAATTACACCGTCTTCGTCCCCACGGACGAGGCTTTTGAGCACATCCCCGATCACCACGACAAGAAGCCTTCCAAGGAATTCGTCGAGGGTCTCCTCAAGTACCATGTCGGCCTCGGCCTCTACCCCGCCGGCCGCATCCTCGCCACCCACACCATCCCCACGGCCCTCAACGAGCCCTGGCTCGGCGACCGTCCCCAGCGCCTGCGTACCCGCGTCGGCCTCACAGGCGTGCGCGTCAACTTTTACGACAAGGTCGTCGCCGCCAATATTTTTGCCAAGAACGGCGTCGCCCACGCCGTCAACCGCATCCTCGTGCCGCCACCCTGGATCGGCCGCGAGCTTATGCTGTTCCCCTCCAAATTCTCGACGCTGCTGCTGGCGTACGAGAAGACGCATTTTACCGACTTTGTCAATCACGTCGAGATGAAGGGTGCCACCGTCTTCGCCCCCTCCAACACGGCCTTTGACCGCCTCGGCCCCGGCGCCAACGCCTTCCTCTTCAACTCGGAGAAGGGGCTCAAGTACCTCAAGGCGCTGCTCAAGTACCACGTCGTCGCCAACGAGACGCTGTACAGCGACCACTACTACAAGCATGATCAGGGCGAGGAAGAGGAGGTCGCCGGCGACGGTGACGGCAGCGTCGAGGCCGAGGGCATCAAGCACTATCACGTCGACCTGCCTAGTCTGCTCGACGAGAAGAGCATCGCCGTCGACATTACGCGCTGGGGCGGCTTCATCGACCTCAAGGTCAACGGCTACATCCACGTGTCCGTTTCGGACGCTGTCGCCAAGAACGGCGTCGTGCACGTCGTCGACAGCGTGCTGCTGCCGCACCGCAAGCCTGGTGGGGATGCCGAGGTGGATGTCGAGGAGCTCAAGGCCATGCTCGCGCCTTTTGTGGAGGAGGCCGAGGACGACTGGAATGAACTGTAGATAGTCCGCAGTCGACTCTTGCCGGTACAATTACTCTTCAATGCTGAATAACAAAGATATCGGATTCGCGTGCATTTTGCATGTTCACCAGGTTTCGCGATGCTAGCTAGTCAGCGCTTTCAACCGTAGCTGATTGGGCTAAACGTCGTTGATGGCGTTTATCGAAGGACCACAGAAGAGCAATGAGATATATGGCCAGGGGGTGAGCGCCTCGAAGACGATTGCTTAGTACATGTCGAAGCCGCCTTGATCATGACTGGCCGACCAACGTCCGGAAACCCCCACTGCCAAAGTGACTATGTAGTCGGAAGGTTATAGATGGTTTTCTGATCTGTCGCTACACAGCCATCACGGGCGATAGATACAATGGAAATACAGAGTACATGCGAAAAGCCTCCTACGCCTCAAGATCTTGTTCAGTAGTTCAGCCCTAATCGCCCCCCTCTTCCCTCCTCGTCCTTCTCCCTCCGCGTCCGTCCTCCGCCTTCCTCATTCCCCCTCCCCTCTTCCTCTTTTCCCCTTTTCCCTTTCCCCCCTTTCCCCTCAATTCCCTATGTGAACCATGAGTGGCATCACTGCTCAATGGCATGAAGGTAGGCAGCAACCTCCTTTTCGAAGAAGGAGCGCGCAACAAGCTCGTCGGCAGACTCAACAATCCATGTCTGGCAGTTTCTTTGTATGACCTTCGTGCCAGACTTAGCCTAGACATATTCAATCAGCTTGAACATCGGTGGATTATTGCGTACTGTGACGTCGTAACGCCCCGCTAGTAGGCATCAAAACTAGGATATGGAGAGAGAATCGCGCGCTTACTCTGTCATCTGAGGCATTCAAAGACTTTCCCGGGACCTTGACACTGTAGAGAGCAGTCTCAAAGCGGCCGATGGGTGTGCCGTCGACTTTGTTTTTCCCATGGTTGAACATTGCCTCCTGGTCGGCGTCGCTAGCCTCGACCCACTGCAGCGGCACTTTGGCAGTGGGACGATTAGCAGTTGTCGTGAAGTCATAGCTTCGTTTGACCTCGAATTTGAACCCATCTTTCACATCACCCGTCGCGTGGATTAGAACACCTATGTTTGGGTTCGTGGGCGAGGGCATCCAGTATGCCCAGTGATCTTTGAAAGGTGCGCCATTGAATATCAGTAGGTATACGAGGAGAGCGCGAGCAGGATCCTTTGGCGTCAGCACCGCCGGTGGCTTGGGGGCCGGAGGTTGAATGGCGGCTTTGTTCCCAACAGGGGGAAGGGGTGGAGGTGGAGGAGGAGGAGCCCCTCCCTCAGCAGCCTTCCGGATGGATTTCATCTTGGGGTAGATAGTTGCTTCCTTGATTTGAAAAGTGGAATTGACGAGGAAACCGACCTCAAAATTGTAAAATGATAAAAAGGACAGTAGCTAAAGACTGAGCTGAACAAAGTGAACTGAGGGACGTGTCATGACGAAGTAGCTGTCAAGCTGAGGTATATATGCTTGTTTCTTCTTTTCACCTGTGGAGTCTTTAAGCCTCCTCATCTGAATAAACGCGAAGGATCTGTATGCGCCAGGCAATCCAATCCAAAAGTAAACTTATTGTCTTCATTAGACAGGTAGTAAAAATCCCCCGCGCGTATGCAGATGCTCAAAATACGGGCCGCTACGCGAATACTACATTCATAGTGAGATGCTGAACTAGACAAATCATGATGCGTAGGTTCCTGTTGGAGGCCAACTGGATCAAATATCTTGTCATGGATGAGCAATCACAATTCACGCCGCTCAGACAGGCGCTTGCTCAGGCATTGGTCGCGCTGGGCCAGGCCCGTCGGAAGGGGTACATAAGTGGGTTTGGGGGTCTGAACCAGTACCGGGATGGCATGGAACCCTCCCCAACCGCCACTACTTCCCAGCTCCACCATCTGCCCTTTCTACAACCAACGTGTGGATGGGATTGCCTGTCACTTCGCGCCAACATCATCCCGCCTCAACAGCCCCAATATCACGCACCTCGATCTCGACATGCAGCAAATCAAAATCTTCCCCGAATCAAGCTTTTTCAAAGAGCGTCGGGCCAGTGACCTTCCAACGCCGGCAGCGGTTAGGGCCATCAGTCTAGCGTCGGGCGATCTTTGGGCATCAAGTTTCAATCGTCCCAGGCCCGTCAGAATCCCATCGCTAGGGTTGATGATCAAGTACGGAGGCGATGTAACATTGACAGAAGTTTCGACTCAGAGAATGGTTCACGAACAGCTTCTTGGTCAAGTGCCTATTCCTGAGGTCTTTGGCTGGACTGAGGATAAAGATCAGGGGTTCATCTACATGTCGCTCATCGAGGGCGATACCTTGGAACAGAGGTGGATTGATCTGAACGAAACCGAGAGGCAAGCCATCTGCGCCGAGCTGAAGCCCATGGTGAAGGCATGGAGGGGTCTGAAGCAAGACGGCCAAGAGCCCTATGTTGGTGAGTGGCAACCTCAAACGTCAGCCACATGACCTAACGTGACTGCTTTCCTACCAGGCAGCATCGGTACGAGCCCTTTGAGGGATATCTTCCTCGTGTACCGCCCAGAGCTCGTGGGACCATTTCGAGGCGACAGGGCTGTTCAGCAATTTCAAGACGTCTGCGGCATCGATATCAGTTGCGAGATCCCAATTGTGTTTTCTCATAGCGACCTGGTCCCGCCGAATGTGCTCTTGTCACGAGGGCCCAACCCAAAAGTGGCAGCCGTCATTGACTGGGCCCAGTCAGGATGGTATCCCTCGTACTGGGAGTATTGCAAGGCGCGACGGGTAGAATTGGACCCGGAATTGTTCAGCAAAGCTCTGCAGGAGGAATGGCGGGGAAAGTACCTACCCTTGTTCATTGATCCTGTGGATGACGAGACGTATTACCACCCTTGGCTGTGGTTTGTTTTGTCAAAGGGAATATGATCTAAATGGAAGAGGTACCCAGTTACTCACGAAATGGTCGCAGGCCAGACTCGAAAGGGAGCCGACTTCGAGCTGGGAATGTATTCATAGCCTTATCGATCATTCGGAAGGCCTTCTGACAGCATGATACAGTCAAGGAATGGCGATAGAGCTGTTGGCGTCTAGCTCATCAAGATGTTCTGCCTAAGCTGTAGGAAGAAGAATAAACAAGCCCAGCCACAGCAGCCGACGGGGCATCAACAAACGTCTAAAAAGAAATTGACGTGTCTAAAGCGTTGACATGCATCAGTGCGCATTTTGTAAGGAAAGCTCAAGTTTAAGTATGACTGACAGCGTCACCAGCGATCCGGTCATCCATCGCTCGAAGAACAGGTCCGCTCGCCTAAGGGACCAGTCAAGACGCACCCCGACAACGGCGCACTCTGTGTATGTTTCGGTATCACGGATTCCAGCCAGATACACCTCATCACCCACAATTACAGAGGCTGTCATGAAAAGACGAGTGACGAACGGATTTTCTACTAGAAGACCACCCACGACAGCACCTAGGCTAGAGCACGATACGAGGTTCTCAAGACGGCCCACAGAGGCCTGGAAGGTCATCACCAAGCTGTTTCAGATTTCTTTTTTTGCTATTTCTTTTTGGGAAACAAGCTTGTTTCTTGGATTAATAGATCCAGTTCCCTGGCCCAGCAGCTCAGAGACGGCGTATTATAGCGCGATCTTCGACTGCTGGCGGCTGAGCTGGAACCATCACTTATTTAACGCGAGCATATTGGTCGACGAGGCATCTGACCTGGTAGTAGTCCGCTGAATGATTCTAAATTGTGTCTCCGAAATACAGACCTACTTCTACTGTGGATGGCTATTGTTAGACCTAACAAGAGCTCGCACTCGGTCTGATTTTGCCATTTGTAGATTCTATGGATGCCACATCGTCTTGAAAGATTCAGGAATCAGAAGACCCCGTCATTTTGACAGTTTCTTCGCTTGTAGTCATGTTCAGTTCCTCTCACTGTCGCTCACGCGAAGTCCGTTGGAGGTCAGCTCATGGGCCATCGGAGGTTCTACAAACGAATGCAACTCTCCGTCATCGATAAAAAATCCGTTCATTTCGAGGGACCCAAGCCTAGCTCTCAACAGGCTCAAAACGCAGTGTCAAGCTCTCGCCAGTTGGCCGCGCGGTATACGCATCTTCCTGTGTGATGCCCGTATCATCGACCACAAACGTTCGAAAGTGGGTGTAAATCGCGGCGAGAATGTTCTTCATTTCTAGCGAGGCATGGTCAGAATCGTATCATATTGTAGTCGAGTTCTCACGAACTTACCGTTCATGGCAAAATTGGAGCCCAGACACATCCGGCCGCCGCTGCCGAATGTCCAGAATCGGCGAAGCATCTCCCGCTTCTGGCCATCCTCGACGAGCCACCGCGTGGGCGCCCAGTGCTCTGGGTCCGGGAACGCCGTCTCATCGCGGTGGAGCGTGTGCGCGAGACAGGCTACCCGGACATCGCCGGAGATCGTGTAACCAGCGATGCAACAACCGGTTGGAGGTGTTCGACGCGGCTCAGGCCCGGGAATCGGCGCGTGCAGGCGCAGGGTCTCCCATCACGACGGCATGGAGGAGAGGCAGAGCGTCCAGGGCTTTGGAGTCGGGAACGGTGCTGCTCTTTTCCAATGACGGCGATGAGAAAGAGGGGGTCCAGCGTTAGTAGCTCTGCGCGTAGCTCATCCTGAAGTCGAGAGGACCCGTGAGAGGTGCCATGTCGCATACGTGAGAGCGATGCCGGCCGTCTCCTGGCCAGCGAGGAGGTGGTCCATAACCTCCGACGCAACGGCGTCACCGCGTCGCGAGATGCTCGTCGTGAACAGGAGACTGTCCTCACCAGCCGTGCGCGCCTCCCGGTCAATCCAAGTGTTGATGGCGTCGAGAACGACAGCCTCGTCCACCGCGTCTCGGTCTTCGGCCCCGCCATCAGCCGTTTGCGCCCGCGCTGCGCTTCGTCGCACATCGTCCGGTTCCAGGTGTTCAGCTGGGCGTTGGCCCTGTCCACCCAGCGTGGATATGGCGAAAGACCCAGCCATTCCCGACACACCCGCGTCAGGACCGGCAGCTCCTGTGGCCAAAAGCCATGCTCGGCGCGGGCGAGATACAGCGCCAACCAGGGATCGCGTTCATCGGCGCGGCGTACAAAGTCTGTCCCGCCGGCGAGGCCAAAGACGTAGGCTGCAATGAGGTCCATGGCGCACGCGAGAAAGATGGGAAACACGTCAACACCGGTACACGAAGATGCCGACTTTGCGCGTAGCAACGGCAGCAACCGGTTCTGCACGACGGCTGTGGTCTGGGCCTTGGCGGCATGAGAGGCGTGGATGAAGGACTTGGAGTATACATTTGACACGGCTCGCTTGCGGAGTGAGTGAGGGCGAGAGGAGAGGGTGGAAAACATGTTGTCGATGCTGTCACTGGTCAGTCTTCTTACTGTCCGGCCTTGATCCATATCTCATCTCACCCATAATTTCTGAACACGCTATACCACGGGTCCTTTTCAAAGCCGCCCTGGTAGATGATTCTCAGTCCGTCGATGCCGTCGATGCTGACGTCTTTGGGCCCGATGCGCACGACAGGGCCCAGCCGGCGATGCGCCTCAAGTAGCACCCTGTTCTCACAGCGGTTCCACCTCACAGCGAGGATCCAGAGAGGGGCATAGTGACACGACCAATGCGCCGCAGGTATCTTGGCGAGTGGAGAGATGAATCCGGGGTTGATGATGCCGTAGTACACCGCGAGGACGATGAAGGCTGACGCTACTGCGGAGATGATGGTGATCATAGCCATGGTGTAAGATGTTTGCTTCTCGGCCTTCGCGCAAGTTTATGAATATTGCAAAGAATGATACAAATTGCAGGAATTGGCTGCTTATGGAACAGAAGTCAAATGAGGAGTTGCTCAAGTAGGTCAATTAGCTAGGTTTGGCTGCATATTGGCGCTTGCTCCGGTCGACCCAGGACAGCTTGTGAAGCATTCATCCGAGTGGTATTCTCTGCACGCATAGCAACGGTGGCTCCCCGTCCAGCAGGTCCAGCCACTCTGCTCTCAACGTAGAAACCTAAGCAATGCTGTCACTATTTGTCGGTGTGTAGTCACGTGACCGAGTCGCTGTGACGTGCTGTCTTCTGCCCCTCTCCTGTCGACCGACGTCGTCTCTGTTGTTGCTCGTTCCTCTGTGAAATCAAGCGGTCGAGTTCCACTTTCCCGTACAAAGCAAGGTACTCATCATCAGATAGGCTGGCGGTCGCAGACTTTCTTCCGAATGGAATGTGTTCAAGGTATTGAACAAGGGCCTGATATACTACTTTGGGGGCTCTATGACATGATCTTCGTTAGTTCAAGTTTTAGGCCGCAAATTCTCTCATTTTGCTTACAACGTAGTCCCATCCCAACTGTAGACCCTAAACTCGGGGGCCTCCCCTTCAACTACTACCCCATTATCCAGGAGGAAGTAGCATTTGACGTTGTCGGCATCGTATAGCCCTAGAGAAGTAAAATAGTCTTGCTTGTCGTCGAAGTCCCGACCCCATTCATGCTTGCATATAAGACTCGCCATGGTCTTTTTCCGTTCTGCCGGTTTGCCGGGAATCAATTGCGACTGGCACTTCACCACGATTCGTTTCGCCATGATAGTTGATGACGAAGAGGCAACGGAGGCGAGGCAGTCAGGCTGTCAGTCCTACTTCTTAGGCATCAAGTCAGTAGAAGCCACGACTTACAATGAAGGAGAGTGTGTTTCGGCACGTTGAGACAAGCCGGGCTGCGTAGTCACCCGTCCGAGTCGGGCGGTGTAGCGTAGCAGCACTCCGGGCACTTGACTTCTTTGAGAGCCGTGTGATTCGCTAAGTTCGAGCAGTTGTCGAGCCCGTGTTCGTCGCATTCGCTCCAGTCGTGAAAGATGATGTGCCCACAAGTATACTGGTTCCAGTTCTGGGTGCACATGATTCTCCACGATGTGGTTCATCAAACGGAACGTTGAAGTGTTGTCGCCAGGGGGGCTCTGGCCATTTAACCAGCAGCAATATACGTCATCTCATCCAAGTGGGTCCGTGCTGCTCTAAATCCGTCCATGGTAGAGCAAGTTCCGGGTGTGCTATGTATGGAATCTTCTCACAGCACAGGAAGACAGCGCGTAGGAAGCGGAGAGTATGTCTTCTCATGTCAAGATTTATTTATTGCCTGATCCTGATGCTCTCTCTCTGTCAAGGCAGTGGCGACCCACTGCGGGGTGGACCAGAGGAACCCGACTGCACTTGCCGAAGTTGGGGCAGCGACATGCGGGGGCACTTTGTGATGCCGGATGATTCCATACCCGGAACGAGGTACTAATTGCCGTGGCTATCATTCGAGCAGCATTATCGGAATGGGCCGTTCATCGCAGTGAAAGTTTCGGAATTGGTTCTTATTGTCCGTCCTTTGACAAGAACTGCGTGATCCTCGAGGCTTCAAGAACTTCTTGTCTCTCTCCCCGTGTCGTCATCTTTCGAGGACCCCGCACCCTCCCCAGCAGCTACTGCCCCGCGCTCACGATCGTGTCTGCCAGTGGCCTCGACAGCTGCATAGGAAT